CCCCCACCCCCCGTTGGCCCCTCTCATTTCCGTGTTGGTTTTGATTTCTCTTCCCGACGCTTTCAACTCCCCGCCGCCTCCTCCGGACACGTTATAACGAGGAGCCGTGGGATCGGCGCTCCGGGCCCTGCTCCCACGCTCCCCCCGCTGTCTCTCACATCCATCTCTGCCATCTCCCGGTCTCTGCGGCCACTTCTCCCGTCTCTGTGTCCAGCCCCGTCCTGCTTCAGGCCCCACGGGGACCCGGCCCCCACCCCGCCCCTCCCGCTGGGTCCTCGCCCTACCCCACTCGCCCTGCCCTCGCCACCATAGCCTCCGCCCTGCCTGGGTCCTGTGCGTCTCTGGGTCTCCACATCTCTCTGTCTCTGTGTCCCCACGTCTCTGGGGCTCCACATGGCTCTGTTTTTATGTCCAGGGTCTCCGCACCCCAGCCTCCCTGCTTCTGTTTCCTCGTCCCCTGTCCCCTCCTCCCCATGTCCCTGTCCCCGTGTCTCTCTGTCTCTGTCTTCGTCTCCACGCCCATTCCCGTGTCTCTGTGTCTCCATCTCCACGTCTCTGTTTCCGTCTGGTGTTGGTGTTCAGTGTTGGTCTCTTGGGGTCCCTTTGATCTTGCCCTGCCCCTGGCACCCCCCTGGCCCCATTGATCGCCAATCGACCAGCCAGCGGAGGGAGTGGGGCCTGCGCCCCGGGCTGCAGGGCCGGACAGGGGCCTGGTAAGCCAGCTGGACAGATGGACGGACGGCCTGGCCCTGGATAGCTGCGGAGGGGGAGCAGCCGCAGCCCCCGCCCCTCCCCGCCGGCCGGCGTGGTGCGGATGGGGACTCCGGGCAAGCTTTAATTTTTAATTTTATTTTGCTTCCTCCACCCCCCTCCGCCCCCCATCTCCACCGCCCGCAGCCATGGCACCGAGTGTGTGTGCGCATGTGAGTGAGGCAGCAGCGTGGAGGGCGCCGGGCAGCGAGAGGCCTCCTGCTCTCCCTGCCGAGCGCAACTGCACAGACCGCGCCAGCCCCAGCACGCACACCCCCACGTGCCACCCAGCACACACTGCACAGACACACACATCGACACTAGCACACACCACCACTGCCACACGACACACGTCTCACAGGTGCATGTGTCAAAGTCACACGCACCAACACTGGCACACGCCGTCACACTCACACATCAGCACAGCCACACACATTCACTCAGAAACACAGACGCACAGTTTTACAGATACACACAAAGACACACAGAAACAAAGACACACAATCACAAATCCCAGACACGTACACTACACAGACACATAGTCACACACCGAGGCTCCCAATCAAATACAGAAACACAGATCTACAGCACACACGCACAGAGACATCACACAGAGACATCACCCAGACACACAGGTGCACAGCCACGCCAGTGACACAAAAGTACGCAGAGTCACACAAGCACCAGAGACCCTCGAGTGAGCACACCTGTTCTTAGGCGTGGAGTGGTAGAGGTGCACACACCAGCACCAACCTAGACAGCCACAGCCAGACAGCAGGTATGCACGGCCACACACACACACACACACACACACACACACACGTGCACACACACACACACACACACACACACACTCACAGGAAGATCCCAGGACCAGCACAGCCTGCACGGCAGCTCCCGCAGACGCACACTCACACACAGACAAGACACACTCAAGGCTCGGTCGGGGTGGGGGTGGGTGCTCAGAGCTAACCCCACTCCAGGGTCCCTGCTGTTCCTGCTGCCATCTGTCTCCCTGTCCCTCCGTCCTTCTGTGCACTTCTCAAGCACATCTCTGCGTGTCTGTGCATGCGTGTGTGTGTGTGTGTGTGTGTGTGTGATACGTGCACTTGTCTCACACCTGCCAACATCTCTGTGTCTCATGACACAGGTCTCTGGTGTCTCCCAGCGCCCGTCTGGGTGTCAGCGTCTCTGTGTCCCTCTCTGTCTCTCCCACTGAAGGTCTTTGTTGCTCGTCTCTCTGCCTCTCTCTCTAAATATCTCCGTCTCTGAGTGTCTCTGTCTCTCCCTGTCTCTGTCTCTGTCTCTGGGCCTCTCCGTCTGTCTCTCTTTGCCTCGTCTCCTCGCCCCGCCATCACCCCCGGCCCCGGGCTGGGGTTTAACCAGTTGTTTTGATTTCTCTAAGCTGCGCCGGCCGCCTCGGGAGCCGCCTCGGGCCTCGCACCCCCCAGCCCCTTCATCCCTCGCCCAGGCCCCCCCATTCCCACCTCCCCTTAACACAATCTGCACAAGTGGAATGAAAATTGATTTTTTTTTTAAATTTCATATCTTCTCCGGGGCTCTGTCTAAAGAGGAGAGAGACGCGGCCCAAGACCCTTCTGCCGCCGCCGCCCCCGCATGCACACCCCGTGCCCTGGCTGCACCCACCCGTGGCCACACATCCAGACCCAATCTGGGGACACACCCCTCCCTACCCCACACGCCCGTGTAGGACACATGTGTGCACGCAGTGGAGACCCACAGCAACGCCCACCAGTGGCCACGAGCTCCACGCACACCCTGGCGTGGGCCTGCTGCCACCCCCACCCCCTGTCTCCGCACAGATGAGGGAGGCCCAGCCCCCACCCCGTCCAGCCGGGCGCAGCAGCCCAGCTCCTGGTGGTCACACGCTCCACGCGTGTGCTCACAGCCCTGTCCACCCAGATCAGGGCCACGGCCATGTGCACACGGACCCAGGCTCAGGGGCTGTGCCACCACAGGCACTGAGGGGACCTCGTGGCTGTCCTGGAGAGGAGGGGGCCGGGGGTAACGAGGGCTTTCCTGTATGGACGCGTCCCCCTCACCCCAAGGCTACCCCCATTCCTGCCCTGCCCACATCGACCAGAGGCCCTGGCCTGACCCCGGGTGGGGATGTCTCTGTGCCTG